GGGTTCAATCCCCATCAGACGGAGCATGAAATTTAAGATTTTTTTATTCTTAATTATGAAAATGTTTTGGTTTAATATTTAAACCGAACTGTTTAAATTCTAAACCCTACATATGTGCTCTATTTTTTTAAATTTGGAAGGTTTGTATTTGAAACTGAATTTAGTTTGGTCATATACCTATGTAGTCCAAAAAGTTTAAAATTAAAACCGAAATTTTTAACCGTGTATTGAAAATGGGCAAAATCGGACAATAACCACGCCTACCAAACTTGGCGCAGTTGTTTGCCTTGCTACAGCATTGTAAATGGCCGAAAATTTTTAAAATCGGACAATAACCACTCCCTCATCCCATGTAACGGTAATTTGGAGAAATACGAAATCTTCGATAAATCAGTAAATATTAAAGCTGGTTTATTTTNCGGATGGTACACGGTCAAAAATTTGGGTTTAATTTTTAAACCGCGCTGGGACTACTGCCTTTTTTAATCTTTTATAGTCTACTTTTTAAACCAGTCAATAGTTTTAAGCAATTTTCAATATATTCTGGTTTAAATTTTAGTCCAGAAATTTCGTGGCTTAAAAATCAAACCAAAATGTTTTAATTCTAGTTTCTAGGTTTCATATATAGAAAATTTGGTTTAAAATCTAAACCGAAATAGAAAATGTTTGCACACAGCGAAATGTGGTGTTGATTCAAACTCAACATATGAAAGCACATTTACATTTTACATGCGTGGTTGTAGCTGATGGTGCAAAGATGCTTGATACAGTTGGTTGCTACCAAGGCTGTCCGGGTTCAATCCCCATCAGACGGAGCATGAAATTTAAGATTTTTTTATTCTTAATTATGAAAATGTTTTGGTTTAATATTTAAACCGAACTGTTTAAATTCTAAACCCTACATATGTGCTCTATTTTTTTAAATTTGGAAGGTTTGTATTTGAAACTGAATTTAGTTTGGTCATATACCTATGTAGTCCAAAAAGTTTAAAATTAAAACCGAAATTTTTAACCGTGTATTGAAAATGGGCAAAATCGGACAATAACCACGCCTACCAAACTTGGCGCAGTTGTTTGCCTTGCTACAGCATTGTAAATGGCCGAAAATTTTTAAAATCGGACAATAACCACTCCCTCATCCCATGTAACGGTAATTTGGAGAAATACGAAATCTTCGATAAATCAGTAAATATTAAAGCTGGTTTATTTTAAATTGATGCTTGCAACATCTCTTTACCAAGAAATACGTTTATGATAAAATTTTGGAAAATGGGTGTGGCACCGCCCACTTATGATCACATATATGTATCTCGGTAACCATTCTACCAATTTGTACCAAGCTCAGTGTGGTTATTGTGCTTGCCACATTAAAGCAAAGCGTTGAAAATTATTGAAATCGNTTCCATACCTCTGATTGTTTAGATGCGATTTTTTATATAAGTATGTAACTCCTCTATCGATGTATGCAGATGTATTCAAAAGCAGTAATCTGTCAAAGTAAAATTTGCAGATGTTCATGAAAGGTATGAAGCCTTCGGCATAGCCGAAGACAGCGCTGCTCTTACTTGTTTTTTATTGAGTTTGTTTTTATTCTTTTTTAAATAATCTGATGGTTTTAATGTTTTAAAAACAAAACATTTTTATTCATTGAATTTTTATGATAAATATTAAAGCACTTAGGTTTATTTCATTATGAAATTGTTGTTAAACAAATATTTCCTCGCTTCATTTTCGCGTTATTTTAAATAAGATAGAAAACAATTCTCTTTTCCCCCATATCTTTCTTTTCGAGACTAAAATTACCCTGGTATTGAGTAAGCTGTCTCACGTCTCTAGTCTCAAAAAGCAAAATGCAGCAGAAATGCTTGAAACTTCAATATTTCGAGATTTAAGGACGCTAATTTACTCAAAATCAATACACCCCGGCTTACCATGTAGCGGTAGCTTTCGGAAAGGTTAAAATCATATATTTAATACTTGCGCCGGGTATTTAATGTTCGGCTCCGCCCGAACTTAGACTTTTTTAATTGTTTTTTATTGAGTTTGTTTTTATTATTTTTTAAATAATCTGATGGTTTTAATGTTTTAAAAACAAAACATTTTTATTCATTGAATTTTTATGATAAATATTAAAGCACTTAGGTTTATTTCATTATGAAATTGTTGTTAAACAAATATTTCCTCGCTTCATTTTCGCGTTATTTTAAATAAGATAGAAAACAATTCTCTTTTCCCCCATATCTTTCCTTTCGAGACTAAAATTACCCTGGTATTGAGTAAGCTGTCTCACGTCTCTAGTCTCAAAAAGCAAAATTAGGAGGAAAAGATAATTGCTTTCTTTTTTATTGTAAAGAACGCGAAAATAAAGCGAGGAAATATGTTTAATAATTTCATTAAGATGTAAACCTAAATAAGTGCTGTAGTATCCTAAAAATTCAATAAAAAAAATTTTGTTTAACATTATTATTATTTCTTGATGAAAATAAAATATTCCACCAACATTTCTAGCACATTAGCTTCCGATTTTTGTTTTAAAATAAATAAAATAAAAAACAAAAAAAAGGATCAGTATCGGAGCCACAGCCGCTAAACTCAAACGTAGAATACGTGATATTATTAAGATCATATTCAAGTTAAAACCGGTATAAGAAATATTCGTTTTGATTGTATTTAATTGGATTTAATAAATCAATATGAATATGCAAAACATTAATACTTAGCAATAGAGAAGCAGATCCACATTAACTTCAATCATATGTACCATCAGCTTATAAACAGATGTATGCCATGACGTGTATCACTACTACAATTCATTACAATGCTTTTATCAACTTGTTTTTATTTCCTTTCATACTGCAGAAATTTGTATTACTTTTTATTAGTATTCTCCTTCGTGTTCGTGCTCGTCTTCGCATTATCTTCGTCTTCGGATTTGCGCATAAGTTAGCTAAGACCTATGCAACAGCTGGAAACCCCTTCCAAATATAGTTAAAAAATAAACAAATCGCTTTCGTCTGATATTGTGATACCTACATACAGGTGCCTGAGAATTAAATTAAACTTTATTTTTTAAATACGTGACAACGCTCCTAAATACAGTTCAGAAATAAAGCCTTTTTAAATCCATTTCATTTGATACCCATATTTTTATAATTGCTTTAACTTCCCTGCATTGAAAGCTACTAGTTGTGAACTAGAATTCTACCAGTTTGCGTTTCAGTCCAACTAGTTCACGTTCTATCCTTTTTCAATGTTAGCGACTGATATTTTTAACATTGCGATGTCCTACGAGATGTCAATTGTCAAGCTATGCATCAGCATCTACTAGTAGAAATACTAGTAGCATCATACCAGTTGTCTGCCAATTCATCCCCCATGAAAAGCATTAGTATGCCTTTTTGCTCGCGACGCTGCAAGAGTCGCAATGGCCTACAGAGCAAAGCACTCGCGTGGTATGCCTGAGGTAACAGGTTTAAGCCAGGGCGCAGGGAAAATTTTTTTTTCTATTTTTTTTTTTTATATTTCTTTTATTTATATTTTTTATTTAGGTTTTTTTTGTTATTCTTAAATTTAATAAAAAAAAAATATTTTTTTATGGCACAAGTATTTCTTCCCATATATTTGTTTCTTTTTTTTGTAATGCAACTAGATTTTTAAGTTTGTTATTTATATTTAAATTGAAATAATTATTCCTACTTACATTGATCTAACTTTAAAAATCTTAACCACCTCCAAGCGGCCTCGATCCTGCGATCCCAGAACCAGAACCAGAACCAGTAGTCTTCACGTGACGCCACAGCCGACATTTGTAAGAAAAGCAATTAATTGCGATTTATTTTAGGCTTTGGCAATTCAAAGGCAGATGTCGCTGAACGCTTAAGTTCTTTGAAAATGTCGAACTGGTAGGCACATACTAGCTTGTGAACTAGTATTTTTTTCTAACTGGTTTGGGTTTTCACTGCAGGGTACTTACATTGATCTTACTTTAAAAATCTTAACCACCTCCAAGCGGCCTCAAACCTGCGATCCCAGACCAGAACCAGTAGTCTTCACGTGACGCCACAGCCGACATTTGTAAGAAAAGCAATTAATTGCGATTTATTTTAGGCTTTGGCAATTCAAAGGCAGATGTCGCTGAACGCTTAAGTTCTTTGAAAATGTCGAACTGGTAGGCACATACTAGCTTGTGAACTAGTATTTTTTTCTAACTGGTTTGGGTTTTCACTGCAGGGTACTTACATTGATCTTACTTTAAAAATCTTAACCACCTCCAAGCGGCCTCAAACCTGCGATCCCAGACCAGAACCAGTAGTCTTCACGTGACGCCACAGCCGACATTTGTAAGAAAAGCAATTAATTGCGATTTATTTTAGGCTTTTGCAATTCAAAGGCAGATGTCGCGGGGCGCTTAAGTTCTTCGAAAATTTCGAACTGGTAGGCACATACTAGTTTATGAACTAGTATTTTTTCTAACTGGTTTGGGTTTTCAGTGCAGAGTTATTAAATAATTTGAGATTACCTTTTTAAACAGGTGGCAACCCTCTTTAATGTTATTAATATTCAAAGTAAGGATACTTATCACCTATACATAAATACATACATACATTAATTAAATTTTAGCTCCACGACGTCCGTCTCGTTTTTCGTGCAGTTTAGAACTAATATTACAAGTGTCCAGCAGGTGCCTGTATATGTGGGCGCAGTTTTCTGTGTCCGTTTTGTAGTTTAGTCTCTTGTTTGGTGGTGTGTTAATCATGTGCAGCATTTCTAATGTGAAAAGCTTATTATAGTGTTGTTCTTGCTGTAATATGCTCACAGCTTCAAAATCGGGATTGTGTCCGCTCTCTGCACAGTGGGCCGCTAGTGCAGTTTTTTTGTGTTAATGTATATGTGGGCGCAGTTTTCTGTGTCCGTTTTGTAGTTTAGTCTCTTGTTTGGTGGTGTGTTAATCATGTGCAGCATTTCTAATGTGAAACGCTTATTATAGTGTTGTTCTTGCTGTAATATGCTCACAGCTTCAAAATCGGGATTGTGTCCGCTCTCTGCACAGTGGGCCGCTAGTGCAGTTTTTTTTGTGTTAATGGATGCTCTACATTTTATGTCCCATCGGTGTCCTGATATTCTTGTTCTAAGTTTGTTCTTTGTTGTTCCTACATACTCTTTCTCACGTTTGTTATTTTCATTACCAGCACATGGAATCCTGTTTATAATATTGTTTCTGTCCATAGTTGTCACTTTGCTCTTTATATTGCTAAAAACATACCAGTTGTATGGGCGGGTTTGTAAGCTATTCTAATATTTTCCTTGTCATATATGTCTGAAGCTGTTAATCTGTCTGAGAAACCTGGTATGTAAACTACCGATTTGTACGGTATTGCTGTTTTTTCTCCACTTTTCGTATTATTACTTGATTTATGTGTTTTTATCATCTTGTGTATCAGTACAGTTGGGAAATCATTGCTTTTTAGTATGCTTATTATCCGTTTTTTGTTTTCCGTGTGAAACACTACGTCACTTGTGTCTAATACTCTATCGATAAAGTTTTTTGCCGTATTTATTACCATGTTCTTCGGGTGTTTCGATTTAAAATTTATCATGCGTCCTGAAGATGAGGGCTTCTGATACCAGTCAAGTTTTATTTTGTTGTCCATTTTGCATACCAAAGAATCCAGAAAAGGTAATTTGTTGTCTGCTTCTAACTCCATCGTAAATTTGATGTCCTTATGATATGAGTTTAGTGTATTCATTGTTTTTTCCAGTTCGTCCTCCTTAACTATGGCAAACACATCATCTACGTATTTACTAAGTAATCTCGTGTTTGTCACTTTGGTCAAAATTTCTTCCATAATAATGTCGGCTACTATCGGTGATGCTGGAAATCCCATCGGAAGTCCTTTTAATTGTGTATGAATTGTTTCTTCATACTTAAAATATCTGTTTTCTGAGATACAAAAGGTCAGTATTTCCATAAAAAGTTTTTTTGGTATATCCTGGTGTTCCTTAATGTCATTCCACTTTGTCTGTATAGTCTGTATAGCCAAATCCGTTGGTATACTTGGAAATAGTGACACCACATCAAATGAAACAAGACTTTCATCATCACATATATAGGAGTCATTAACCTTGTCTTTAAATTTTATTGCACTCTTTACATTAAATATGGATTCTGTTGTCAGGTTTTTTAAAACATTAGTCAAATATTTACATAAATTGTAGGACGGAAAATTGATCATTGAACAATAGGCCTTAAGGGCATGTTGTCTTTATGGACTTTTGGCAAACCATAGATGCGAGACGAGAGGGCTGTGTGTGTGGTCATCTTGTATTTTTCCTTCTTATTTATAAGACCTAATTTATACAATTTGTCTACCAGATAATGGTTTTTAGTTTGTAAACGTAGCGTCGGGTCTTGACGTAGGATTCTATAAGTTTTTAAATCCCCCAATAAATTGTCCATTCTCGACCGATAGTCTTTTTTCTCCATTGCAACCGTTACATTACCCTTGTCTGCATTCAAAATAATTATGTCTTTGTTTTTGCTAAGAAATTTTCTTGTCCGCTCCACTGTATCATTTATGGCCAGATCCGTTGTATTCCCTTTATGCCTTGTTAAAGTATCTTTTATAAGTAATGATAATTTTGTTCTCGCAGATTCCTGCTTCTCTTTGTTTTTTACGCTCTGTACTAATTCTTCTCCATCCGCTATACATTTGAAGAGGGGAAATGTACTTTTAGATATTGGTAGAGCGAACTTTGGACCTTTACCGAGCAGCGCTTCAACATCCTGCGGGAACTCCTTGTTTGTTTTATTCACCAACCAATGCTTGTTGTTGTTGTGTTTTTGTATCACTTTTATGTTTCGTTCACTTCTCAATTGCTCAAACTTTGATTCTTGCGTGTTTCTCCAATGTTTTGGTCGTGTGATTGTAAGGTGTTGTTCGCTCTCGAAGAACACTGTGGCGTCCTCCTTCTGCATTCTTTGGCTTAATTGTGTCTTTGTACGCTTTAGTTGTTTATCTTTTTCGCTTAGAATGTCATGTTTCAATTTTATCAATATACTGAGTATTTTGCTGTGGAAAAAGTCTTTGTGTCTGTCTAGTACGTGTTTTATATGTTTCGGTATGTGGTTGTCAATGGTAAATATGTAGTCGAGTTTAGTGATGTTTTGTATAAACTTGGGTATAATCTTCGCTTTCCTACATTTTAATAAAAATCTTATGCTAGACTTTAATTTTGCCATCTGGATGGATTCGGTTTTAAACCTGTTGATGGCCTTTTTTGTCTTGTTGTCTTGGGTATTTTTAAGCTTTGCATAAACCATCCTTATTGGTGCTTATGTTTACGGCGTGCCTTCCGTGGTTAAGATAAATCTGTATCTGTTTATACTGCGACCTTTTTGATTTTAATCAAATAATCCTTTTTAATACCGGCTTGAGGTCAGGGTGTTAATGGTATTAAAACACATTCAAATACATTATTTCCCAATATATTTCAATTTCCTCCGGAGATCGTCTTCAGGGCTACAACAATTACACAAGTTTTTTATTAACATACAAGAAAAAGCTAACACATCAAAAACATACATAAATACATACATACATTAATTAAATTTTAGCTCCACGACGTCCGTCTCGTCTGTCGTGCAGTTTAGAACTAATATTACAAGTGTCCAGCAGGTGCCTGTATATGCGGGCGCAGTTGTCTGTGTCCGTTTTGTAGTTTAGTCTCTTGTTTGGTGGTGTGTTAATCATGTGCAGCATTTCTAATGTGAAACGTTTATTATAGTGTTGTTCTTGCTGTAATATGCTCACAGCTTCAAAGTCGGGATTGTGTCCGCTCTCTGCACAGTGGGCCGCTAGTGCAGTTTTTTTTGTGTTAATGGATGCTCTACATGTTATGTCCCATCGGTGTCCTGATATTCTTGTTCTAAGTTTGTTCTTTGTTATTCCTACATACTCTTTCTCACATTTGTTATTTTCATCACTAGCACATGGACTCCTGTATATAATATTGTTTCTGTCCATAGTTGTCACTTTGCTCTTCATATTGCTAAAAAACATACCAGTTGTATAGGCGGTAAATAAGAAGGAAAAATACAAGATGACCTCACACACAGCCCTCCCGCCTCGCATCTATGGTTTGCCAAAAGTCCATAGAGACAACATGCCCTTAAGGCTTATTTGTTCAATGATCAATGCCCCGTCCTACAATTTATGTAAATATTTGACTAATGTTTTAAAAAACCTTACAACAGAATCCAAATTTAATGTAAAGAGTGCAGTAGAATTTAAAGACAAGGTTAATGACTCCTATATATGTGATGATGAACGTCTTGTTTCGTTTGATGTGGTGTCACTATTTCCAAGTATACCAACGGATTTGGCTATACAGACAAAGTGGAATGACATTAAGGAACACACGGATATACCAAAAAAACTTTTTATGGAAATACTGACCTTTTGTATCTCAGAAAACAGATATTTTAAGTATGAAGAAACAATTTATACACAATTAAAAGGACTTCCGATGGGATGTCCAGCATCACCGATAGTAGCCGACATTATTATGGAAGAAATTTTGACCAAAGTAACAAACACGAGATTACTTAGTAAATACGTAGATGATGTGTTTGCCATAGTTAAGGAGGACGAACTGGAATAAACAATGAATACACTAAACTCATATCATAAGGACATCAAATTTACGATGGAGGTAGAAGCAGACAACAAATTACCTTTTCTGGATTCGTTGGTATGCAAAATGGACAACAAAATAAAACTTACGCAGTGTTTCACACGGAAAACAAAAAACGGATAATAAACATACTAAAAAGCAATGATTTCCCAACTGGACTGATACACAAGATGATAAAAGCACATAAATCAAGTAATAATACGAAAAGTAGAGAAAAAACAGCAATACCGTATAAATCGGTAGTTTACATACCAGGGTTCTGAGACAGATTAAAAGCTTCAGACATATATGACAAGGAAAATATTAGAATAGCACACAAACCCGCCTATACAACTGGTATGTTTTTTAGCAATATGAAGAGCAAAGTGACAACTATGGACAGAAACAATATTATATACAGGATTCCATGTGCTGGTGATGAAAATAACGAATGTGAGAAAGAGTATGTAGGAAAAACAAAGAACAAACTTAGAACAAGAATATCAGGACAACGATCGGACATAAAATGTAGAGCATCCATTAGCACACGAAAAACTGCACTAGCGGCCCACTGCGCAGAGAGCGGACACAATCCCGATTTTGAAACTGTGAGCATATTACAGCAAGAACACCACTAATAAACGTTTCACATTAGAAATGCTCCACATAATTAACACACCACCAAACAAGAGACTAAACTACAAAACGGACACAGAAAACTGCGCCCACATATAAGTTAACCCATCACCCTAGCACACAGTCAGCATTGCCGGCTTAACAAGTGCACCGAATATGACACCTGCTAATAATAATAAACAAAGTAACGATCAACGGCTACAAACAGACAACACATAACAAAAGCCGTGTGATCTGCTGACTCAGCATACTCGCAAAGCATAAGCAGACAATTATAGCAATTATAGCAATATTTCGATAATAAATATTGTAAAAGACGCCGATGCGACACACATGCAACGATGAACGGCTACAAACATACAGCACATAGCTATAGCCGTGTGATCCAACATATTTACAACCAAATGAAAAAGGAATGCAACAACAACACAAAGCGACAGCAGTTAGGGCAGAATTTTATATAAGACGTATTGAAGTGTTTAGAGTTTAGTTTTTAGTATGAACTCAATAAATAACGATTAAAATAAATTACTGGCGACCAACAGAGGAAAACACCCACAACCAAAAGGAAAAGGGCGATACAGCAGGACAAAAAAAAAACTGATAAAGGACTACGGAGCCAACGATGGAGCACTTTAAATGTAAAGTTATAAATATGTAAGTAGAGTGCTCGTTACATAAAGAATTAACAGATAAAACAAAAAATTTTTTGAAAACTGTGAAAGTAGTTATATGAAAAAAATATAATCAAACAATTTTTTTTTTGTGAAAAAACTGTGAAACTATTGTGAGGTTTGGGGAAATAATATTGTGTCAGGGCTGTAGCTTTTGCATTTTTTTTCCTTTTTTCTGACCTTTTCCGTTCTTGTTATTGCAACGATTTAATGAGCAGTTCTGACTGCAAGCTAGAAGAGCTACTAGACAGAATTAACAGACTCACTCTTTCAAAAGCTAACATAATGGACGCTAGCCTAATAACCGCTTTAGTGCAGGCTGCCGTAGCTGGAGCACTGCAACAGCAAAAGGAGACTTTCGAAGTTAAACTTCAAAGTATTACGGAACGACTAACGACATCAAAGGCTACAGAAAATAAACCTAAAATTTATGAGCNCGACTAACGACATTAAAGGCTACAGAAAATAAACCTAAAATTTATGAGCCGGTTAAAATAGTAGGAAACGTGAGATGCGAGGAACCTCTTGACCTAGTAAAATCGTTGCCAGAATTCGATGGGCAAATGAGTATTTACGTCTCATGGCGCCAAGCCGCCCATACGGCATACGAGGTATTTCAAGGCTACACAGGTAGCTCTAGACACTACCAAGCGGTAGGAATAATTAGGAATAAATTGAAAGGACCCGCTGATGCTGTCTTGGCATCTTTTAATACTGTCCTTAATTTCGAAGCAATAATTGCTCGACTAGACTTCACATATGCGGACAAACGTCCAATATATCTTATAGAGCAAGAACTATCTACTCTTAGACAGGGCAACTTGTCAG